CTCGTCGTGTGAAAGTTATCGTTCTTTGTTCGATAAGAACAAGGAATAGTAACACCCTCATACGGTGTGGACGGAGTTTGTGTTGCTTGTCGTGCCCTAACTCTGTCTTTCTCGAAGGAAACCACCTTATGAGACCCTTGAGAAAGGTCGAAACCGGTCGTGGTATCTTCTTTGATTCTTTCAGAAATGAATTCTGTCTGAGTATCTAGTAACTAAGAAGGCGGTTGTAAAATTACTAAATATAATTAAATTTAAGTCGAGTTTCATATACAGATTTATTCTCAATTGATGTTATTCAATTGTCTTTTACCGATTAAACTCAACTGAAATAAATAGTTTTATTTAATCTGCATGAAAAAATGGATTTTATGATTAATTAAACATTAATACATTTTTGATTTCAATAGCAATTTTTAAGTTTTTTCGTTATATGGACATCATCATTTCATCAAATTCTCACGAGAGTAGACTTACCAGAGAATGATTCTTTCTTTATCACTTGGGCCACTGAAGTCGAAGTGAATGCTGCTTTCGGTTGTGCTTTTCCTTCAATAATAATTCAATCAATTCAGCACATACTGTTTTAAGCTTAAATAAAACTGAGAAAATTTTTGCACCAGAGAACTGTCTGGACGCTCTAAGAAAGAAACCGCATCACAGCCCCATAAAATATTTTGTCAAAAAAATCTAGGTCGATTTAATTGACCCCGCTCGTTTATTCTATAGGTAATTCAAGTTTTAGATCATCTCGAACTTGTTGTCTCGTCAGAAAATGAATTTTATACTCACCGGATGCACCTTCATTTGATGATTTTGGCGTTATGTACACGGCAGCCATAGCTGATGGCAATTGTGTATCACTATCGTCATTCACTTCTGCCAAATGAACAACATGTAGAGCACCAGCATGATCCAATGCAATGCTCTCTACACGTAAATGAGTGCCCGGTCCCAACAACACTTCATTCTCATTAGGATAATTCGTGTAACCAGTAATATTTTTGCCATTTACAGCCTGGATCAAGAAAAGAGTCGATATTGTGTCGCGTGATAGAAAATCTTTGATGACATCCATCGATAACGAACAAGAACTCACAGCCCACCAGTGTAACTCTTGATTCTTCTTGAAATTCTTGGTAATATCACTAGGCACACCTCGCCAAATGTTTCTTCTCTCAGTGGGTAATTTGCTGAGTGCTGTGTCGAACAATTTCAGATAGGAGAACCACGGTTTGACTAAACGTCGGTCTTCTAATCGCAATGCTTGGTTTAATACTCGATAGAAGCTATTATCGCCTCCTTCCATCGTGTACAAATACAAAGCAGCCGATTCATCACGAGTGAGATCATGTTCTGATGGATAATGACAATGCTTTTTGGCCGCTTTGATGGAACGATCTAACTGATCTATGCGAGACAAGATGGGCTCCAAAGCTTTTTCGAGTGGGACAAGTGGATAGCTCCAATAGCCATCGATGGGTGAAAGTTTCTTGTTACTGAGATCAATATCGGCAAAACGACTCATTATGTGTGCAAGTATTCTGTTGTACGAAGTTTTTGCTGCAGTGAAAATGTCTACCTACTCGAAACAACATACGCCAATGCTATGCAAATATGGTTTGGTGCGAGAATAACAACGGGTTCTTTTATGACGATGCCGACTTCTTTTAATGCAGTGTGCGAAAAAAAAACATCTACCTTGCAATTTTACCTTTGTGTAAACAAAGATAAGAAGAGTGGATTCAACAGCGAAAATGCAGCTATAAAGAACACGTCAAATGTTGTTGACACACGCAGATACTTTATTTTTCTCCAGATTCAAGGCTGAAAGAACTCTCTACTGCACCTTTACCACACCAGTCATCAGGAGAATGAAAACGAAATTATATTCTAGTAGAACAATAGAAGAGACGAACACACCATAGTCACACGGCCACCATACATAAAGTTCTATAATAGGTGTATCACTGAATGTCTGCACAGTGCATATACGAAGGAAACTATCAATAGAATAAAATAGAGATTAGAACGAAAAAAACTGAAAGCATGAGGTTAACAATTCTTTAGTAAAGAAACGGGAATGTTCCCACAAAGTATTCAGCAAATATACAGAAATTACTTTCAAATTTGATCATACAAACCAAACTGAATCAGCGCTCACTAATCAACGTGAGATCACATGTAAAAACCAATCAGTTAAAACAGTAATAGTGTCAATCGAATTATCTACACTTCCTTTATCGACAATGATTGTTGGTCTCCAAAAAGTAATACGAATTTGCATTCTTTAGACTATTTCATTTATATAATGAGCTAATGAAGTACAGAACTGCTATAAACATGATTAACTAATCATCAGAACCTGGAAGGAATTCGCCTTCATTTGATTCATCCACATTGAAAACTAAAATTTTTCCTAACACCTTGTCACTAGTGACAGATGGCTTTAGATGACGGTGGTATTTATGTACATATTTTTGTCTCCATATTAAAAGAATACACATATACTCCCAACTCAGCGACAGTTCTCTAAACCGTTTTCTTTTTTGTATAGCACAACGACAACCCGTTTCTCTTCCCGCATTCGAAGAACTCTTAATCTATACTTTTGCTTAGAGAGTGGCTTTCAATGGTCAAATCATTCAAGCTGTCGTCGACGAGTGTGTAGTTTTCCTCTTACGTCGTATGTAGCTTTTATCAGTATTCCATATCTTCAATATCTCACCCATATACTTACATGTTGCTTGATAATGCAGTAAGAAAGTCATAAGAATTGTACTAAAAATGTTGCTGCAACCGTAATTATGAGATCAATACCTTGAGATCGATATAGTTGTCGTATATAATTTATCAGTTGTCTCTCTGCACAATATATGTAATATGAGGTATATTGTAAATATCCTGTATATTGTACTATATCTTCAGCAATATTACCCGGTAAGAAAGGAACTGTTTTATCTAATTGGTTATGATGAAAGACAAATTGTAAATACTCATTTTGTTGATGAAAACTAATATAGTGATTTGCAAATAATTTATCATATTGTGCATACATCCGATGGAAATCATAAAAAACAATCATATAATCAGGATCAATTATAATACCTTGTGCCATTCTATATAATATCTGAAAACAGCTATCGGTTGTAGAAAAAAGCAATGTTTAAAGCAAGAAAGAAACTATAAGAATAAAACAAACTACTAATAACATCATTATTCATATAACTGTAAATTCATTTCCAGGTGTCAATGGCAAAGGCATTCTATTTTTCTCAACTAATGGGATGCATGCATCCAAAGTGTTGGCGTCAGGAAGACATTGAGACCATGCGAAATAAATGCATCACAACTGCCAACTGCGGTCTTTATAAATTGGAAGTGAGAGAATGTTGAAGTCGTGGAGGAAGCCCAACGTAAATTAGCAACCACTTTCTACTATTTTGACCGTACTGATGCATGTATGTGCGACAGAGTAGCACGAAATGCTGACCGATACCGCCTCATTTTTAAAGGTTCATAGAACAACAAGGGGATCAGTTTTAAACTTCTCTTAAAACTTTGAAAACTTGAAGGACAATCGCTAGCGAAGCTGAGTAAAGATCTCAGGAATTCCTATCTTCGCACAAAATGCCTTTTGGACTATTCCATCGTACGTTCTGCGCGTTATACAAAGTTCTCACTGTGCAAGCTGAAACTTTCACGGTTTATGAAGTACATCGTCCCTGGATCGAAATAAATAAAAGAAAAATTTTTGAAAAACAAAGGAATTGCAGAGGTATTCCCATCACAAGGGTGCATTTTCGTGCGTTTGGAATATTTCCATGGCTTTTGATTGTGGAAAAATTTTGATCAAAGATTTGTGCTCAGAACGAAAAGATCTTTAGGATCAAATAATCAAAAAAATTTGGGAGGTCGTACTGGGTTCGCGTTCACATATGTCATTTTCTGTCGAAAAACGACACTTTTCATGTTAAGCCGTTTTCCAGCAAAATTAATTCAAAATCCAAACCAGCTTTATGTTTTACAAAACACATTATTTCTTCTATCCGAAACTATAGGAATGAGCTCAATCGGTCGCACCCTCAACGTGCGCAGCTTTCAACAATGAGACGTATGGCCAAATGTACGCCGACTTTGGGGCTTTACAAATTAGGAATAAGAGAATGTTGAAAGTGGAAAATAGTTGTATATAGTAGAGACGACGAACAACAAAATGGCTCATTTAGATTTTCCCTTAACATGACAATTCACGAGCGATAATTCACTTCTACATGGTACAAATGGACAAGGAATATACCGTTTTCTGTAACAATATGGAAAATTTTCGATAATTTCTTTTATATATAGGATCAGCGTGGAGAACTGCACCTATCGATGTGTCATTCATTGGACCATTTTAATTTTTTCGTTACACCACAGCTCATTACTCCTACTTGACTTATCAAAAACTTTTTTCTTTTCTAAAAGGCTCATACCTAGGGGTAAAAAAGTTGACAAGGAAACGCGTTAAATGTTTCAAAGCCAACACGTTCTTTTTGTCGTTTAAACGCGTTTTCCTTTATCTATTCGTTTGAAAAGGCGTTTTTCGGAATTTCGCAACTCATTACTTTTGAGTTAAAAGCGCGTTTTCAAACGTTCTAGAACACGTCTCAGATAAAACATTTAACGCGTTTTTGATCGTTAAAAACGGAACAGAAACGTGTGAAAACAGAAAATTTTGGTAAAGCCGGAGGTGAGACTTGGCTACTCAGTAGGACTTGATCTAAAAATAATCGAAAGTCTAATAAAGGAAATACAAAACTGATGATCTAAGACTGAAAAAGACCGAAAAGAACCGTTTTCAACGACGATTACACCCCCAACAAAATGAACACCTATTCATCAACGGAACACTACTAAACCACAAAACACACCAACTCAAACTAAACGAATTCTATGGTAAAGAGAATCAGCGGTGGCATATGCTTTACAAAGCATCACACCATGGGTATAAAAGCGAAGATTTTCACCAACGATGCGACGGAAAAGGTCCGACAGTCACAATCATTGAATCCAAAAACGGCCTTTATCTATTCGGCGCGAGAATTCAAAAACTACCCAACCCAATACAATATCCAGGAAAAATCAACCAAACGCCATAGCCACACAATATCCGAACACACTCATGCATACACAGCAGTTCCCTGGGAATCCAAAAGAAACATCAAAAACGATCCCACAGCGTTCCTCTTTACATTAACTAACCCGCATGACCTAAAACCCACAAAATTTAACATTAACCAAGACTCAAACACAATTGCAGTCATACACCACCCCAAATGCGGGCCAATCTTCGGTCGACAAAAACCACTTACAACGTCATCGTTTTTTTCACATTTTCTCTTGGCTACAATCTAGTGTTACTTCTCGCTGTTTCTTATTTTAACAAGAAAGTGGCGTCACTTGTCGTAGTCACGAATAAACGAACTTTCATTTAATGATGCTTTGGCTATTTCATTTACAACGTCATCGTTTTTTTCACATTTTCTCTTGGCTAGAATCTAGTGTTATGTCTCGCTGTTTCTTATTTTAGCAAGAAAGTGGCGTCACTTTTCGTCGTCACGAATAAACAAACTTTCATTTGCTGCTTTGGCTATTTCATTTACAACGTCATCCTTTTTTTCACTGAGATCATTTTGCTTATATTTCGCTAAAATAACTTCGAATTTCAACTCATCATACGATTCGTTGAAATCTGAACCATTAGCCTGTTATCACAGAATATTTTCAGGCCTACACTGTTATCTATT